AAATATAAGGTAGTTATTATAACAAACTCAGACATATAGAAATAATACTTTAAGTTCTATACTCCTGATACTTACGATATAACCTTTACCCGAACTGCAATGACTGCTAGCCTGTAAAATCAGTAAAAATTGCACAGGGATGAGAATTGATTTAAATGGTAGTATTGCATAGTATAGTCACATTGTAGTTATAACAACACTTACATCGCTGAGGTGGTCCCTGGAACTGTCTGCGTCCTGGCAATCCCTAGGTATACCAGGGCCATGCAATTGTTCAGATGCTCTACCACTATCGTCACTTGTACCTGCATCTAGGCCCTGGAAAACAATCAATGCATAATTATATAATGATTTTATTCTACACATATTTACAGTCATGAACTGAACTTTTAAGACTTACCTGGTTAATCGTAGAAGGTGTCAGTATGGAATTGTGTGTATAATGGTTGTGCTTGAAATGATTTTTGATGTGATGCTCGTTGTGTCTATTATTTTGTCCTATATCCACCTTTGGTTTTTCTTCCACTATTGATATTAATGTATGCAATTTCTTGACATTATTTTTGCCAGCTAGCTTTATTGCACTCTGTAATCATAAAAAAGATCAAATTATATTTTAGCTTGAGAAAATAAAAAAAGATTGAAAAATGAATATTATTTAACATAATTGTAAAAAAAAAAGGAAATAGATTTCTTAGTTTCGAATTTTTTAATTGTTGTTAAAAAAAATTGATAATATTTTTTCAGGAATAAAAAAAAACTAAAATATAACTAAGCAATTTAGTTTCAGTATGGACAATTTTTTTTTTTTAAATGTACGATTACATTCTAAGGGAACTAAGGATGCTGTTGCAAGAAGGTATCATGATAAACGTAATATAATCCTTACGATAACTTTTTGCAATCGCTAACTCCACGATGTAAAATAATTAAATTTCATTCCTGGCGATCATTGTACTCAATAAGCAGGAGATACTGGTATGTCCACTGGTTTCGTTTGCATTCAACACGTATAAAGTTCGAATAACCAGCAAACGATTATGTTCAACACGTATGGTAAACACGCCACGATTTCTGCCACAGATTCACACTGGTGTAAAAACAAGTTGGATGATTTATTTTTTCATCACTATAAACGTTGACGAATCGTCAAACTCGTGTAAGAAAGTGTAAGGTGAAAACTTGATGCGCGCACAGTAGAAAAAGCCGTATGAGAACGCCTTTCCGTCGGTGCCTTTAAACCGCGATGTCAGTGCACATTTCTGAACGGGTGGCGCTCTGCCCCCTCCTCCTGGCTTTTTTCTCTCGGTTTCCCCTATGTGCACCTAAATACCGTTATCGTAATAAACGCGGTTTCCGTCGTTCCTGAACGAGAGAGTATCCGTCAGACGTGCGTTCGTGATAGGCCGATTTCGTTTAAATTCGAGCTCTCTAAGAAAGACGGGCGTTTGCAAAGATGACAGTAGGATTCACAGGCAGCACCATGTCTCGTGTGCGCGATGCAGCACACGAATAGTGGGGAGAATGAAAGAGGCAGTGAGCGAGGTGATGGTGAAGGGAGTGAGGAAGAGGGGGAGACACCGAGTAGAAAGTGGGGGTTGAAAAGAGAAGAGAGGGAAATGACGAAGAAGGCAAAGAGGAAGAGCGAGGAAGAAAGAGAAGACATTGACCGAACGAGCAGCCGCGCGACAAGGCCTCCTTTGCCGTGCCAGGCCAGCTGGAAGGAACGAAGCCTGAACCCTGACTTCTCTTTCTCGGCTCCGAGTATTACTTTCCTTTTTCGATAACCGTGTATTCGCTTACGCTTTTTTCTGCTCTCTCTTTCTCTCTGTCTCTCGCTCTATCTTTCCCTCTCCTTCTTTCGCTGGTACAGTTGGCTACCAAAGAAGCGATGGGAAAAAGCCACTAGAACTCGCGGTGTAAAAAACTACCACCTAGCAAAAGCCATACTCCACCTGCGCACGTGTGCCAACTGCGAAGTGAAACCCCCTAGGACATGCACTGCGGTCAGATTACATATTCTTCACAGGTAAATTAATTAAATAAGCCTCTATCTTATGCATATACGTGCATATATATACACATTATATATGTGTATATATATAATT